CAACTATGAGACCAGCTGTATCCATCATATGGATGGGTATACAGTACACTAGTATATCCGATTATCACTATGTCCCTCTCGAGTAACCTATGACCGGGATTATTTATGATCTGTGTTTAAAGGTGAATCGATCTCATTATTGTGATCTCATCACGATCCGATTCCCATTACACAGATCTAAGGACATCACAATATATATATGCATATATGCAATAGTTAATATAAAGTGATAAATGTGAAAATATAATAAGCAAAAAAGATTTTGTGTCAAGTTACACGTGCCATCATTCATGTGATTGGCTTGTTGGGCACCTATAACTAGCAATTATCAAACTGCAAGCGGTAGTACCACCCAGTAATGGCGGTGGTACTGCTAGTACACCGAAATCCAAGGATGTGATACTTTTTGGCTCAAATTCTGAAGCCACTGGGACCTATAAATACCCCACCATTTTCTTCATGAAAGGGCACGAAAGTATTAGCATAATCTTGAGTCTTTGAAGTGTTAAAGTGTTGTAAAAGTGCTAGAGTACTCTTCCTCTCTTTCTAAGTGTTGAGATCATTCAAGAGAGGTGTGAGACTTGTAAGGGTTATCTCCTAAACTCATGAAAAGGAGAAAGCACTGTAAAGAGGTGGTTGGTCTTCGCCTATTGAAGGAAGACCATTAGTGGACGCCGATGATCTCGATAGAGGAGGAATCAGAAGTGGATATAGGTCACAACAATCGAACCACTCTAAATTCTGGTTTGCCTTTCTATTTGTGCAATTTACATTACTACAAACTTCCTTAACCTTCTCTTTGCACTCTTACGAAAGCTTTCAAGTTCAGTTTCTTTCCGAAAAGGATTGAATCAAAACGAATACTTTTTGGAATCAATGCTTTTTTTTACTGCACTAATTCACCCCCCTCTTAGTGCCACTCTTGATCCTAAAAAATGGCTTGGCAAGAAGATATTGACTCCAATGAGATGAAGCTTGATAAATGACATAAAACTCCTTATCATAGGTATAATATTTCTTTCTCGTATCATTCAGCTTTTCACTAAAAAAATGTAATGAGCTTTCCGTCTTGACTTAAAACAGCACCAATTCCCACATTAGAGGCGTCATATTCAACCTCAAACACATTATCAAAATTTGGTAGAACTAAGATAGGAGCTTCGGTCACCTTTCTTTTTAAAAGATCAAAAGCATCATTAGCCTCACCAGTCCATTTGAGTTTATCACATTTTAGGCATTTGTTGATTGGAGCGATAATAGAGCTGAAACCCTTGATGCATCTTCTGTAAAAGGAATTTAAGCCATGGAAACTCCTCACATCATGCAATGAAGTAGGTGTTGGCCAGTTGAGAATAGTTTCTACCTTACTTTGATCTATCATGATTCCATCTTTTGAAACAATATATCCCAAAAATACAATATGAGAAGTAAAGAAATCACACTTTTTTAGATTAGCATAAAGCTTTTGCTGTCTCAAAACAAGAAAGAACTCTTTCAAATGATTCATATACACCAATATATCGTCAAAGTAAACTACAACAAATATTTCAATGCATGGCTTAAGTATGTGATTCATAAATCTCATAAAAGTACTAGGAAAATTAGATAGCCCAAATGGCATAACCAACCATTCATATAAGCCTTCTCTAGTTATAAATGATGTTTTTCACTCATCTTTGGGCCTCATTCTTATTTAGTGATAGCCACTCCTCAAATCAATTCTAAAGAAAATATAAGCACCATATAATTAATCAAGTAAATCATCTAACCTTAGAATAGGAAAATGATAGTCTACTGTGATTTTGTTGATGGTGTGACTATCCACACACATTCTCCAAGATCCATCCTTCTTAGGCACCAACAAGGTTGGGACTGTATAAGGACTCATGCTCTACCGAATCAATCACTTTTTCACCAATTCATCAACTTGCCTTTGAAGTTCTTTATGCTACTTGGGACACATTCTGTATGCTGCCTTATTAGGTAGAATAGCCCTTGGAATAAGATCAATGTGATGCTGGATGTCTCTCAAAGGTGGAAGTCTATGAGTAATCTCTTCTGGTACAACATCTTGAAACTCCTCCAGAATTAGTTTCATGATTGCTGGTGTTTCCTTATGTTGTTCATTTGCCTCTAGTACTACTAGAGCCATAACAGGAACACCCTTGTCTAATTCACCATTGAATTCACCATAAGACATAAAAACGCTAACCTCCTTCTTTGGTGCACTAATTTCAGAAGGTTGTAAAGGAGCTAAGATAATCTTCTTTTCATTCACCTTAAAAGAATAAGTATGTTTATAGCCATCATATATCATAATGCCAAGATCTTCCCAACAGCAAATGACAAGCGTCCATTGGAGCAACATCACACCATACTTCATCTTTATAATACTTGCTAATAGAAAACAAAACTAAACGTCTTTTAGTTACCTTGATGTCATTTCCTTTTTGCAACTAACATAATTGGTATAGATGTGGATGAGGTATTGTGTCCAATTTTAGCTTTTGTACCATCTCTAAAGATACCACATTCTCAAAGTTGCCGTTGTCGATAATCACCAAGCATACCTTGCCAAGAGAAGTGCATTTAGTGTGAAACACGTTTTTTCGCACCCAACTTTCATTATCGGCCACATAAGACACTTGTAAGCTATATTGCAATATAATAGACAAACCATGATTTGCATAAGTAACATCTTCCTCATCTTCATCATATTTTGGTTCATCGTCGGCTTCATCTTCTCCTCCACTATGATCTTCAACCAAAGTTACAATCCTCCTATTTGGATAATCTAAAGTAATATGCCCAAAACCATGACATTTGAAGCATTTTTGACCACTTGGGGTAGAAGGATTAGGTGTTTTTTTTATTGCCCGTAGATTCTTCACCCTTTTCTTGCACTTTTGATATCACCTTACTTTGGATAGTAGGCTTGAAACTTCCTCCTTTTGTATAGCCTTCTTTTGAACCATATCGAGAACTCTTTTTAAACTTCTGTAGCTTTTTAACTTTTAAAGCCAACTTGCTCACATCATTTAAAGACCAATATGACTGCAGTTGAACCACTTTAGCAATCTCACATTTCAGACCTCCTAAGTATCTTGAAATTGTTTGCTCTTCCGGTTCCACAAGCTTTCCTTTTAACATCAGATTTTCGAATTCTATAGTGTACTCCTCCATACTAAGATCTTTTTGTTTGAAATCATGGATTTTGAGAAAGATCTCTTGCCTATAATTGTGAGGTAAATATTTTCTCTTCAGCTCTCTTTTCATTTATTCCCATGTCACAATTTTACTCTTCCCCTCACGTTCTCTTTGTTTCTTCAGATTTTCCCACTAAAAAGATGCATTCCGTCTGAGTTTGAGTGCCACAAGTTTGACATTCTTTTGTTATGGTGGTTCATGAAAATAATTTTTTTTTTTTACTATATTAAGCCAATTAATAAAGTTATCAACATTTATTTTACCTTCAAACTCTGGAATCTCCAATCTTGGTTTATATTTATTCTGCTACTCATCTTGGACTCTATTTCTTGTCCGACATATTCTCGACTCCCTTAGAAGAGGAGGTGTATCATCTTCAAAAGTAAACTCATAGATATCATTTTCATGCTGATTGTTTCTACTTCAAAGTTCTTCAATTATTTTATTTTTTTCTTATAGACAACGTAGCAATCTTCGTAGTTGTAGGCTTAACAACTTAGCATCATCTTCATGGTTGCCACCTTCATCAACTATATCTTTTCCATTCCGCCTTGCCATAATCTCTAGCCTTTAGATATGATACTAAACTGATACCGACGTGATATAGAATGGGTGGGGTGGGGTGGTGGGGGGTAAAGCAGAATAGATTTTAATAGAAAACCGATAGTTAAACTGTATTTGCTGGAATGAGTATTTCGGATTGAAAAGTCACAGTAAACAAGGAGAAAAGTGGCAGTATAGTTGTATTTGCTATAATGAGTGTTTTGAATAGAAAATGCATGAACTTACGATAAAACTTAAATGAGATCGAAAAATAGCTCACCACTAAGTTAAAATCACAAAGGGATACAGAAAGTTCGCCATCCCAAGGATTATAAACGAGGATACAAAACTAAAAACAAAAGACTCATCACTCAAGGACACATCCAAGAGATATAGAGTTTAAGGGAGTACTCCAAGAGAGCTTCTGTCAAAATATCATCAGTTTCTGAAGTCCTTTCTAAGCCCTAAATACCAAAATAAGTACTAGTGCATGAAATAACCCTTCATAGGAAATTTCAAAATTGTGTTTTACAACTTCTAACCAACTCCTTTAATGTATTCCTTACTCATGAAGAAAAGCACCTTGAAACAGCTTTGACTTTATGTAGGGAATATGCTAACGAGCTATCATATTTGAGTGGGCTGAGTTGAAGATTGCAAGGTAATATTATTGGTCGAAAAAAATATCATATCATAAGTAAGTAAGGTTTATATAAACAAATTATAACAAATTAGAAACTCTCATATAATTAAAAAAAAAATATTTACATTGGCTTTAGCGACAATCGTCTTTATATAATGATCACTCCTTATAATAATAGTAGTATTTCAAATTACAAGAACAATTAACTTTTCATGTTTTTTAATTCTTTCTTTTATCTGTGTCAAATGAATAAAAAATTATAATTCAAATTTTTATTGAATCAATACATGAGATGAGATCTATTTATATATATTAAAGAGACTTATTTAATTTTACTCTAAAGAACATATCTATTTGAATAAAAAAATTATTTATTTAACGATGATTTTAGACTATCATTTCCTTCCTGTCTTTTTTAGACTTCAAATTCAATGATCGACAATTCAAGTCTCACCAACTCAATTACCGTCATAATGGTATTGTAGTATGTATGCAATATTTATCCTTACCTATCTTAATGTTTATTATTCACTATTATCACTATATATATATATATATATATATCTATAGTCTTCAAGTAATTCACCACTACATCTTTCAAGACAAATCCATGAGTGGACCAGCCTTTGTTTCCTTCTCTTTCGAAGGGGCAATACGCCATCCACCTCAAGGGCAATGCCATGGTTCACCAAGGCATCCTTCACCCCAAGAATTGTCCACCATTCTCTCAGCGCCTCTTCTCCCATCTCCCACTGCAGCTCTGCTGCACGAACCATGCTCCTTCCAATGCCCTCCTTCCTGCCCCCGGCCCGCGTCGACGACCTGCTTCTTTCTGTCCTCCTCAAACACCAGCCGAAGCGAGGTCCGTCACTCCAGGTGCACTCCGTACTCGTCATCACCGCTCTCCACCGCAACCACATGGACCATACTGGCATCAGAGTGTGGAATACCCTCATCAGGCACTACGCGCTGGGCTGCTTCCCCCAGGAAGCCATCCATCTCTACAAACAAATGGAACGGCTCTGCTGCTGCCACCCCCTCCCCACTGACACCTTCACCTTCTCCTTCCTCCTCAAGTCCTGTGCTAACTTGTCGCAGCCCTGTGCCGGTGCTCAGTTCCATGGCCTCACAGTCAAGAAAGGCTTAGCTTGTAATGTCTATGTGGATACAGCCCTCGTCAATATGTACGCGACTTGTGGCTCTTTGGTGGAAGCTAAGAGGGCGTTCGACGAAATGCCCAACAAAAACTCCGTTTCTTGGAACGCCATGATTACCGCATTGGCGAGTTGGGGCGAGCTCGCCTTTTCTAGATTGCTTTTCAGTCAAATGCCTGACCGCAATGTGATCTCCTGGACCGGCTTGATCGATGGGTACACCCGAGCTGACCGACCACTTGAATCATTCTATCTGTTCCGCCAGATGATGGCAGAAGGTTTAATGCCAACGGAGATCACGGTGCTAGCCATAGCTCCTGCCATCTCTAGTCTCGGAGCTCTCGATAAGGTGCAAGCGTTGCATGCTTATTCCGAGAAGCGTGGCCTTTCTTTGTTGGATGTGCGGGTCGAGAATTCTCTGATCGACATGTATGGGAAGTGTGGCTCTATGGAGGATTCATACAAGTTCTTTGAGCACATGGGAAGCCGCAGGAATTTGGTTTCGTGGACTTCGATAGCCTCTGGATTTGCAATGCACGGAATGGCGAATGAGGCCATGAAACTGTTCGACGAAATGAGGACCCGAAACTTTAAGCCAAATAGAGTGACATTCCTGAGCATGTTGAATGCCTGTAATCATGGGGGGCTTGTGGAAGCAGGATTGAGGTTATTCATCAGCATGGTGTATTATTACGGCATCGAGCCAGAGATTAAGCACTATGGTTGCATGATTGACTTGTTGGGAAGGGCAGGCAGGTTGAAAGAGGCAGAGGATATGATAGCTGGGATGCCAATGGTGGTGAATGTTGTTGTGTGGAGGACCCTCCTGGGTGGCTGCAGCAAGCATGGTGAGGTGGAAATTGGTGAAAGGGTGATGAGGAGGATAATGGAATTGGAAAAGGGTTATAGTGGAGACTATGTTGTCTTGTCTAATATGCTTATTGAGGCTGGTAGGTTTGATGATGCCGAGGGAGTGAGGAGGCTGATGGATGAAAGGAATGTTCCAAAGGTTCCTGGTCTCAGTTTGATTACTTGAAACTTAGAAAATAACATATTTACATGGTGAAAGATTTTATTCTTGGTTTGGTAGGAAAAATGAATCAACCAATTTTACAGGAGAAATGAGACAAATGCCCCCTTCTCCTGCAATAGATTGATTTAGACATGATGCGGTTGGCTTCAATCAGGTGTTTGATCTAGGTTATCCGAAAATTAGCTGCATTTCAAGTTTGTGCAAATGCTTGGCTCTGTTTGAATGTGGTCTCAAGTCCAACCAGCATTTGGAAGATAAATCTAATGGACTAGGTTACTTGGATTCTGTGTGTGTGGTTAAATTTTATACATTATTACAAATTTAAGACTAAAAGTGATACTAATGGAGTTGAGTTGTTGTTTTGTATTATGTAATCAATTGGCACTTTGATGTTGTCAAATGGGGTTACGGTATTAGAATTTCAATGGACTAATTACAAATTATCTCTTATAATTAGTTATTTTAGTATCAAAGTTCAAACACATTCAAAAGTTATATTGGGATCTTTATGTTTACGAAAGTGAAGTATTTAATCTTATTTTTCCTCATGTCATCGACTTTATTGACGAAAATATTGCACGTGCTCAAATAATAAACCTAAGTAAGACATAATCAACATATGCTTAATGATAAATCATGTAATATTTTTGTTAATAGAACCAACGATGTGAGTAGAAACGAGATCAAATGTTTCATTTTCATAGGTATAGAGATTTTAATATAATTTTTGAAAGTATAAGGAACGAGAGGCTAAAGGTATCTAATTACAAGAGCTAATATGTAATTAGCCCAAGTGACATGATTGTAAGAGATGAGTAAGTAAAAACATAAATAGGCAATCTTTGTTTGTTAATTATTAATCATAGCCATCATTTATCTTTAGCTATATGGGTTATCTTGTCCCATGGTTTCTTCAAAATTTAAGATCTTCCAAATATTTTTTTTATATTTATTTTAATGTAAATATAAGTAAATTCAAATTAATGAAGTATGGATCAATTCCTTTAAGGTACTTAGTTGTTTCGAAGGTCTTGATTTCTTAATATTTGCATAAAAGTAAAAATAAAAAATAATAATCAATGAGCATGGATGATATTTTTTTCTTTGATAGTTCACTTAATTATTTTAACATCTCGTTAAATGAACACCATCTTAGTTCACATAAAGTTGATAAATCTAATCATTAAATCAAAAATACTAAAATTCAAATTAATGTTAGTAGATCTATTAAATTGACTATGAACGTCTATTAAATTCTGACATTTCTGCTACGCAATGGACAGTAATGGAATTATGGCATTAAAGAAGGAGACCTAAGCCATTTTGCGTCGACGGCAGGTTCTTCTCGGTCGCGTGCGCTGTCTTAACACACACATTGGAAATCTCTCGATTGGTGGAGAATCATTGCAGCTGTCTCAGAGTTATCCATTCTTCTCCATGGATCTCTGAACTCTTTTTTTTCTGCCCCCTTCAATCTGCAATAAAACCACATCCTGATGGAGAGAATGGCAGCGGCAGCAGGCTCACGATCTGTAGCATTCTCCAGCTCCAAATGGCCTCTCTGTGTTCCTTCCCTGCCGTCTCCCTCTCTCTTTCATCGGATACCATTCAACTCGTCCACATATTCCATACCCCCTCTCTGCTCTCAGAGCTCGCAGATCAAGCAATTGCTCCCTGCAACACCGAAGGGTAGAGGTATTACTGCTCCCAGGTCCGCCACCGTTGAAAGCTCCTCCGTTTCTTCGCCGGAGGGATGGCTTCTTCAACCAGTAGGTGTGTCACTCTCTCCCTTTTCTCAGTAGAGGTATTACTGCAGCAATGTTGACTTTGTCAGATGAGAGCTGGTTGAGCCGAGTGTTAGGCAGTAGACAGCACTCATCCTCTGAAAAGAATTAACTTGCAGGTGATGGAGATTCAAGACACATTGGATTTAAAGTCCCACTTCCTGATGCATTCGTAATAGCTTCGGTATGTTTTCTCACTGGATTAGACGACTAGTTGGTGCCAAAAATGTTCATTATCTCAGCAAATAGAACTGATCATATCCAACTGCCCAGGATGCTGTCACCGTAGGACGTCTTCCAGACAAAGCTGATATGGTAATTCCAGTTGCTACAGGTGTCCCTAACTACAACAACTGTTATTCTGTTAATATCAAGATTCAACCTACATCAAGTTCGCAGTTCAATTTGTTTGATCACAAGACTGCTCACGTTTGAGTCAAATCGTCGAACAGTTTCCGGTGTGCATGCACGGCTGGAGAAGAAGGGAGGAACGCTGCTCATCACGGATTTGGACAGCACCAATGGGACTTACATCGATGACAAGAAGCTCAGACCTGGCGCAGTGACGACTGTGCCGCCGGGGTCTTGCATAACATTTGGTAATCACACGCAGAAGCTTCCGTTTCATTGCATTACTTACTCATCAGTCAAAGTGCATGCAAACTCCTTTGTGATGCTTCATGGAGGCTCGACGTCTGTGATCGATGCAGGAGATACGCATCTGGCCATGTTTCGTGTTTCCAAAATCGAACAGGAGGATGTCACTGGCGAAGGAGACGATAAATCTGAGATCGAAACCAAGGCTGAGACAACAATAAACGGAGAGTAGCTGAGCAGCGACGACTGCAATGAGTCTTGACATAAGATCGATTGCAATGGCTCAGCAGTGGCATGCTCGCATATAAGTGTTTCTTCATCTTTAAATGATATTTGAGTTACTATCGACACAACGCGTACTTTTTTAAGTTGATGTGTTTTCGGATTTAGGTAGTGACAAATATAATATATTCTTCATGTTTCCATATATATATATATATATATATATATATATGGTCAGATGTTTAATAAAACTTAGAATACTTAAATTTTTATTTTTTAAAAAAATTATCTCTCTTCGTATCACTAACATTAATTATTTTATTTATTATGACTATCGCATCTCAATATCTTCTCAGTAAATATTTATATCATATTAAATAATTTTCTCTCATATTATCATTTATTGAAGTGATACCTAATTGTTCACGAATAAAAATATTTATTTTTTTATCTTTCTAAATAACTTTACATATTCATCTTAATATTTTCATCTCGACAACATATATATA